GTCATGGCAAGCTGTCATAGAGAGAGAGAATTAAAGAAATATTATCCGGTATTCGCGCATTCTTAGGAGTTTTATCTATCCCCCCCTCCGCCAAGCTAGGAACCACGCCATAAAATTACCTTAAAATCTCTGAAACTGGGGAACTGCTCCAGGTTAAGTTCTCCAGTCACCAGAAACTTGAGTTTCCTGAACAAAGTTGGAATTAGTCCGTAGATATAGTTAAACTTAAACTCCTTCTCGTTATTTATTAATTCAGACCTCAGATATATTACTTCTATCTATTGTATAAATTAGTCTTTAAACACAGTACACACGGGTGTCCCAAAAAGTATTTTTGTTTTGTCTAATGTTCCAGAAGGAATTTGTGACCTCATCGTAACGCAAGAGGAAAAATAATTCCGCCCTTTAAGGTCATCGTGTCGTCTGAAATATCAAAATCCAAAAAAATAATAATATTAAGATGATCAACCAGAGTTTGTCGGATATTTTAAATTAAAAAGGAAAAAACGATTTTCATTTAACAGCTATAAACATAAAGTTGAAATCTCAGATTATTTGTTTGTCCGATCATAACTCGGGAACCACTGGATCGATTTGTCTCAAATGTTGATTGAGGAACTCGGGAGACCCACGGGAATGTTATTAGCTTGGTTTTGAGATTCTTACTTGAGTAACTCCATTTGTAACTGGAAAATTAGCTAAAATCGTAATTACGACAAGGGCCGGGTAAACAGTGGGACTAACTATGACTCCCCTAGGCCACTATGAGTTCCCAGCTAATCTAGTAAAACAAACTCAAGCAAAAATAAGGAGTTGATAGAAAACAAAATATTAAATAACTATTGTTGTGTGTGTGTTTGAGTGTGTCTGTGGAGGTGATTGAACTGGTCGTGCACAGTTGAACTACATCATCAGTTTATTACTATACCTGGAGTCAGGTCTCAACCAATCCTCGGCTCCGAAGATTGACAGCTTCGATGCCACTGCCTGGACATTCAATCAATCTTTCGATCAATCAATTGTATCAATCAATCATTCGATCAATTGATCAATTATTCAATCAGTCAATAAGTCATTTCAGCACGTTATCATTAATTATCTCAAAATATTTTTTTTGTTTGAGATTCTTAAGTAATTAGTTCTTTCAGTTAACATTTTTTCTCAAGAATTTTGCATTTTAAGCTGTGCATTTTTTAGATATTTTTGCTTATTAAGTGTTTATTAGAAAAGGTTTGCTGTTGATGTAGAATCTAAATCAGCAAAGCCAATAATAGGAATAAAAGACAAAAAGGAAAAGATAGGATTAAATTAAAACCTGTTTAAAAAAGGGCCTGGCTTAGCTCTACATGAAATAATTCCCCGTTTCACATTCAGTTTTTAAACCTGTGTAGTTAGTTGTACACTGCACAATGCTATACAAAGATTTGCCAACTACCTTTATTTATTAATTTATTTCCAACCTTGGTTAGCCGTCTCATCTTAGTCTCAAACTCAGTAGAATTATCAATGACGTCATAGTAAGGATGACCCACCCAGGCCTCCCCAACCTAGAAATAAGAACTTTAGAACCACTCCCCTCCGCTCTGTTCCGCTCCGGTCTGTTCCGCTCCGGTCTCTCCACTCCACTCCACTCCACTCCACTCCACTCCACTCCACTCCACTCCACTCCACTCCACTCCACTCCACTTTTATTCCAATTCCCATACCCATTCCCATACACATATCCATTCCCATTCTCATTCTCATACTCATACCCATTCCAACTCTCATTCCCATTTCCATTTTTATTGCCTTTCTCTTTTCCATTTCAATTCCCATTCCCATTCCCATTCTCATTCTCATTCTCATACCCATTCCAACACTCATTCCTACTCTCATTCCCATTCCCATTCTCATACCCATTCTAATTCTCATTCTCTTTCCCATTTTCATTCCCATTCTCATTCCCATTCTCATTCCCATTCTCATACCCATTCTCATTCTCATTCTCATTCTCATTCTCATTCTCATTCTCATTCTTATTCTTATTCTCATTCTCATTCTCATTCTCATTCTCATACGCATACCCATTCCAACTCTTATTCCATTCCCATTTTCATTACCATTTTCATTGCCATTCCATCAATGATCATTGCTAACATTGATTCGGATTTCTGTCCAAAAATATATTTTTTTTTGATACAAACCATTTCTGATGAAACACCCTGTAAATCCAAACATTCTAGAATCTTTAATTAAACTGTGAAGAAAGCAGTTTTCAGTCTGGCTTGAAAGTTGAATGGGAGGGGAAAAAAATTCAGGGGAAAATGTATTATTTTCAAACATTAGGGGGTCAAAATATATAAAAATAATACTTTTAATTAAAAAATGAGCTTTTAAGAGGGGGTTGGGGGTGGAGACAGAATGTGATATACCAAATTCATAATAATATTAATGATAATAATAATGATAATGATAATATAAAAATGATAACAATAATCGAAAGTCAAGTATTCTAATAAAATCATTTAACTTACTTAAAAATTTAAATCCGAAAATCTCACAAAGAAAATTTGAAAATATGAATCCCGAGTGAATGAACTAAATTCAATTACCTTTGTATCACAATTTTCAGCTTCGGTCAGTCCTTCAGATCTGGTTTTATTGTTAGATCTAGTATAATGTTCCTGGGCACCCCTATATACATACAAATATATTGTTAGATCTAGTATAATGTTCCTGGGCACCCCTATATACATACAAATATATTGTTAGATCTATAGTGTTCCTGGGCACCCCTATATACATACAAATATATTGTTAGATCTAGTATAATGTTCATGGGCAGTCCAGTTATTAATTCTAATTTTAAAAAATTAAGATATCTTCATCAAAAACTTAGATACAGGGTTCTCCACAAAGGATGAGACTTCAGAGACGACTACACGGAATCTATATCGACCCTTGCAGGCCCAAACTCACTTTATCAAATACTCAATTGAAGGCAAAAACCATTTATCAAGTTCCAAATCGTCATACTTTTTAATTTTACGTCGTCTTTACAGCCCATTATTTGTGGGTGACACAGTATGAAAGTTTCAAGTGTATCTCTATTAACTGTAGATTATGTTCTTTAAATGAAACTATATGGAATGTCCATTTGTGTTCATTAAAGTTTGCTTCTTTTTATTACTTTTCTCTTTTTTTATTTTCATTACTTTTATTCTCTTTATTTTTATATCTATTTATTAAACCTCTTCGCTCATATTTATAAATATTAAATATATATATATTAGCTATAGTACCCAACGGCTGGACCAAATTGACTGATACATTTGAGGGAACCCATGGGTACCCTGGGTGTAACAAAAGCTAAAAAATTAAGATTTTTTAAATTAAAATTTTTTTAGTCCACGGTCATTTCAGCCAGTATTTAATATTTTAACATTTTCAAAGGACTGGAAAACTTTTTTTCTGATAGCAGATATTAAACATAGATTATTTTATCATATCTGTTATCCTTGTAATCCTTGATAAAAGTTTATAAAAATAATAAACCATCATTACATTTATAGATAACAAACTTTGGTGTTTTATATATGGTAATTGATGACGCTTCTTGTGTAATGTTACATAATGAATAACACGCTCAATTATTACCTTGCTAAGATGGATAACTTGATTGCATCTGTTATCCCGAATTATTACCTTGCAGCTGTCACAAGATGGATAACTTGATCGTATCTGTTATCTCGAATATCGACTTCATCCAATTTATTTCTCTCCAGAATTCTTACCCAATCAGATCTGAAAATAGTTTTTTTGAAAAATAAATATGGGTTAAGGCAGGGGCGTATTCAGAAACTGGAGGGGGGGGGGGGGGGCTTAGCACCCCCTGGAAATCATAGATTTCACTGATAAAGGGGGTTAACAAGTGTCATTGGTTTAAACATCCCGATCCTTGAAACATTTTTTGAGGCTCTGAATTTAAAGATTTAACAAGATTGTAGTTTTGACGGTAGCAATTGTCAAAATCTCAATATTTCAGAATGTGAATATTTAAGCTTACACAGGATACAGAGATACATATAGAGATATGTACCATAGCATACACAGGACACAGAGATACATTTAAAGTTATGTACCCTAGCATACACAGGACACAGAGATACATATAGAGATATGTACCCTAGCATACACAGAACACAGAGATACATATAGAGATATGTACCCTAGCATACACAGGACACAGAGATAGATTTAGAGATATGTACCCTAGCATAAACAGGATACAGAGATACATATAGAGATATGTACCCTAGCATACACAGGACACAGAGATACATTCAGAGATATGTACCCTAGCATACACAGGACACAGAGATACATATAGAGATATGTAACCATGCATACACAGGACACAGAGATACATATAGAGATCTGTACCCTAGCATACACAGGACACAGAGATAAATTAAGAGATCTTGATAGGTAAGCTGAACATGGACAAAAATATATGAAAGGTAGATTTTACTTTAACGGAGTAATTGGTAAAACCCTGATAGCTGTTTGCATCATAATGCATATTTTACTTAACAATGAAGAATACTCGAGTGGAACTCATAAAACTGGAATAGGAAGACGACATTTTCGTAATCTTATAAGTATTTTATGATCTTATAAAGCAGGAGTTTATGGAAGCTTGAAAATCCACCGAACTGAAATGGGTTTGTGTACACTTACAATTGGTGTGTTTCAATTTTCATGTTTATTGGACTATTAAATATCATAACTAGAGGCTAAAAGTCGTTTTCCTATTCCACAATTTTATGGGTCCCACTGTACCTTGGTAAGTAGGCTGAACAGTCCATTGCACCACGATCACAGATGACCAGACAATTTCGTTTACACGAGTCAGCCAACTCGAAGAACGTATCCTCTTAAATATTATTTTTCAAATCAATTTTCAACCAGGGGAGGATGGATGTTTCATGCATTTTTGATATTGCAAAGCTTTAAAGGGTATCTTTCTAAATCGGAAATATTAAAAACTAGCTGAAGGGCCCGGCGTTGCCCGTGGAAAAAAATATTTTTTAAAAATGTTTGAAAAAAAATTTCGAATTATTTTAGCCTACATCTCCCCCCAGGCACCCATGACTATCCACAAAAAATATCAGCCTAATCGGTCCAGCTATTTAGCCGGCTATACGCAACATATATATATATAAACGTCTTGTTTTATTATATAGATAGTTTTTGAAATTGCGTTTATTCTCTATATCTAGACAACACCTCAGCTGATGGCAGAAAAATTAACAGAACAAACCTAATACTAAAACTGGAAAGGGGGTGAATAAAAGCCTATTAATTATGCAACGGGGGGAGGGAGGCAACAGGCAGACCACCCCTTGTAAGATAAACTTTCAGGTGACATAGGTGATTTTAAGTAGGGTTACGTAAGCTCCCCCCACCTACAATAACAAACTAACACTTTTATAATATTAAAAAAAACAATTGTAGCGTTTCATTAAAAAATGTTGTTATTGTTAAAACTTGAACTAGTTCCTGAGCTATTTTGATACGTCATACAATGATCGACGTTTAAATTATCACAATTAAGACGAATTTTTAATTTATAACAGGCTTTTTCAAATTTGAAGTTTACAAGTAAAATAAAAGAAGCTGTTGATTGACATCTTCTCTCTGTAAAAGCTGTTTATTGACAGCTTCTCTTTGTAGAAGCTGTTAATTGACAGCTTATCGGTTTCCTAGTTTATGTGTAATGTGTATACATGCTTTTTGAAAAGCTTGGTACAAATTGAAATCGAAAGTCGTCTTCATTATATCCATATAATACGAAGACGACTTAAGTAAATCATCGTTAACAAACCCATCAAAGAAAAAATGTCTCACCTATTTGAAACATTGTCTTCAGAAGATTTTCTTGAAACGATAATGCCTGAAACAGAACATAAACATTCTTCAAATATTAAAGGGACTAAAATTGTAATTTTAAGTGGTCTTCAACGCTAAAATGACATTTTTCGATTTACAAGCGTTGTCTGATCAAATTAGAACTAGATATAAATGTTTTGAATTTTAAGAACTGATTATTTTCAATTGTGGTTTCCCTACAGAATTGACACAGAAACGCGTAAACCTAGAAAAATTACGATATCTTCCACACGATCAGATAAATATTTTAAGAGTAAGATTATGAATCGGGCATGGAGGGTCACTTTAAATCAGGCGTACAGTCCCTTTAAATAGGAAAAGTGCATTTGTATTTTGTATTGATGAAAGAAGATAAAAGAAAATATTGACGACTGCAATCACTCAAAAGATTGTTAGGAAAAGAGTTATAAATTAATTCTAAATAGAACGAAGAGAAGTTTTAATCTTATAAAAAAACAATTTGGTGTGTAACTTGGGATGAGGGGCAGCTTTTGGCTCAATTAATTCGATTTTTAAGAATGAATTAAATTTTTCAAATACCTCCCCCCCAGAAAATTTCGCAAGCCATCCCTGTATCCGGCAGTTAAATTTAAACCAACCCCTTTCCTTAGTTTTAATCTCATTGATCTAACCAAAGGAAGAAATACAGAACAGTACACGACGAGAAATGTAAACAAAACTAAGGACTGAGTCTTTATATTTCCTAGTTCTAATCGTAGTACACCATAAGCCCCTAAAGTTTACTTCAGTTTCTGGTAGGAATATAAACAGAACTAATCAGCATTGAATCTGTTTACATACCTCCCAAAAATTGCAGTACACTTATTTCGTAAACAAACAAACCTGTCTTCCATCTAGTTTATTAAAATCTACTCCACCACTGAGAAGAACCGTTGCAGTCTCAGGGACACGGAAAACCACCCAACCAAGCGATTCAAAAAATGTCGCAAGACGATTCTGAGAAATGTTTAATTAGATAAATTTTTCAAATAACAAAATCATGCGTTCGTCAATAATTCTTGTGTCTAATGTCCTATCCTGGTTTTGTTTCTATTGTCCTGTCTGGCTCGTGTGTCGATTGTCTTGTCTTGCTCTTGCGTCTGTAGTCCTTTTGTCTATTGATCTGTTCTTGTGTCCCTTGTCCTGTTCTTGTGCCTCTTGTCCTGTTCTTGTGTCAATTGTCCTGTTTTTTATCTATTGTCCTATTCTTGTGTCAATTGTCCTGTTTTTGTGTCTATCGTCCTATTCTTGTGTCAATTGTCCTGTTCTTGTGTCTATTGTCCTATTCTTGTGATAATTGTTCTGTTCTTGTGTTTAATGTCCTGTTCTTGTGTCTATTGTCCTGTATATTATGTATTGTCCTATTCTTGTGTCAATTGTCCTGTTTTTGTTTCTATAGTCCTATTCTTGTGTCAATTGTCCTGTTCTTGTGTCTATTGTCCTAGTCTTGCGTCAATTGTCCTGTTCTTAATCTTTTTTCATATCCTTGCGTCAATTGTCCTGTTTTTTTGTGTCTATTGTCCTATTCTTGTGTCAATTTTCCTGTTTTTGTGTGTCTATTGTCCTATTCTTGGGCCTATTGTCCTATTCTTGGGCCTATTGTCCTGTTTTTGTGTCTATTGTCCTGTTTTTGTGTCTATTGTCCTGTTGTTGTGTCTATTGTCCTGTTCTTGTGTCTATTGTCCTGTTGTTGTATCAATTGTCCTGTTCTTATGTCTATTCTCCTGTTCTATGTATTTTGTCCTGTTCTTGTGTATATTGTCCTGTTGTTGTGTCTATTGTCCTGTTCTTGTGTCTATTGTCCTGTTGTTGTGTCAATTGTCCTGTTCTTATGTCTATTGTCCTGTTCTATTTATTTTGTCCTGTTCTATGTATTTTGTCCTGTTCTTGTGTCTATTGTCCTGTTCTTGTGTATATTGTCCTGTTCTTGTGTCTTTTGTCCTGTTCTATGTATTTTGTCCTATCCAACCTGAGCAGTAGTTTTTCCACCACAAGGTCCTCCAGTTAACACAAGCTTCCAAACCCTGAAAAAAAGTTAAATAAAAAAACTAAATTTTTTAAACGTTTTTTTTTCAGCCTACCTTCCATCTCCCATAATGCTGCCGTTGTTAACTGTATAGTTTCCCGTAACACCGTTAAGTTTCCCCCACCCGTTTAGTAAATCCCCCCTTCCTGCAGTTTCCCCATCTTTGGTGTTCTCCATCTTGAATAAATGTGTTTATCTATCTATCTATCTGGGACTAGATTAGTCTACAGGTTTCGTCAACTGGAATCTTCGAACCCTCTGCATAAAACAATTAGAAGTAAAAAAAAACAATATTTGAATTTTTTATTAATAAGTTAATTCACTCCTTGTCATACTCATAACTTGTTTTAAAGAACGTTAAATTATAATTTTAAAAGATGGGGCGTAAGTGAAGATAAAACTAAATTTCTAATCATCAGTACTTTTGGCACCTTTTTAAACTCCCATCGAAATAATTTTAAGTGACTCAGACCGTGGATTTAAAAACTACAGGTCCGATTCACAACGGTACCCATTACACCTGTATCAAAGTAACACATTAGGAAGAAATCTTAATTTTCTATTACAAAAAATTATGTTAATTTCCCTCTTTGTTTCTAGCTGTATAAATCCGTAGTTTATTTTAAGAAAAAGAAGCCGCTTTTGAAAATTTCCATTTTCAGAGAACTTGATTATCCATAATTTTTGACACTATGAAGCTTGATTTAGCTTGATAGGATTGGTCAGATCTTCAATTTAAATTTAGTGTTTTAATCTTAGAAGTTGGGGGGGGGGTACTATTACACTCTTATCTAATGCGTCACTCGTTCCGGATTCGTATTATCATTGCGTCAACTTCTTACTGTCAATCACTAAATAAAAAATGTGTTTTGTCTGACCGAAGATTGGCAAAACACTCTTAGCTCTGACTGATAATAATCTCAACTGTCCACTGACTGCCAATAATAAAAAACCAGGCCCGTAACACCGGTCTTATTTACATACAGGGTGTCTCAGAAAATATACGGTTTATATAAATAATGCTTAGGGGTGTTGACAATATATTTAAATTTACCTTTAGGCATGATATAACTTTTTAAACTGGATGCTAGATATTACTCATTAAAAACAAGAGATTGTGTACTTGTGTATAATTACCACAACTTTTGGAATGAGAGTGTGGACATGCATGATACAGGAGCGTACTCACTATACTCAGGAATTTGTCAGGGGTGGGGGGTGGGGCCTTAACAGTCAGCACCTGTTTACAACTCAGAATTATCTCCATTGAATAAAGATACAATCGTACAGGAATCCTTTTATTGTTTTTTATTATTATTACTATCTCTCCTACCATCATTTTACAACTAGAAACAAGAATGGCAGGGCACGTTCAGACTTTTGGAAATTCATTCGTTATAACGGTCAGATAAATAAACCGAACGAACAGGATCATCGAGAAAACTTTGATTTTAACGAAGTGCATTTTTTAAAGTAATTATTCGTTTACGTTTGAGATTTCGCTCGTTAAAGGTATTGTCGGCGTAATTTTGCTACTACTTCTACTACTACTACTACTACTACTACTACTACTACTACTACTACTACTAGTAGTAGTAGTTATTTTTAATACTGTTCAAAAAAGTTTCGTTGAAGGATTATTTGTTATCAAGTCAAAACAATGATAAACGTAGCATTCCAGATTGAAATGATATACCCTATCTCAACAAGAATTTAAACTAAACTAACTTTTAAACACAAACATGAAATAAAAACCAACCCTTGCAGAATGCTTTAATTCCAGGAATTCAATCCAAAAGGAAGCTGATTAGGTTACATTAATTAATTTAGACAAATTAAAGGGATCGTACACAATAAAATATGACCTTCCATTTAGGTTTCCTATTTAATACAGCACTATTATTTCCATTTACTGATAGCGCCGATTGAAGGATTCTTATCTCTAATAGGATAATGAGATAGGTAGAAAGATAGATGTTACAGCCATTCTACTATTTCTATTGGTTCAGAATAATCAACAAACACATGACTGAATCCTGATTGGATAAGGCGCTAATGGACTCGGCATACAGGAGTGAGAGTACCCTTAAATGACCTTTGTTATATCAAGGATAACTGACATATGCTCATTTTCTTGCTGAAAACATTTTCTATTAAATTGTGGTTTCTCTTTTAAAAGTCACATGTGGACCTATGGTTCAGAGACGTTGAAGGAATTTGCGAGAATTCAACACTTTTCAAAACAGAAAACAATGATATCTTCCTTGGTTTTACTCCAATTAAGGATTAAAGGTACCGAACAACCCCGTTTTTATGTCAATATTCCTTATCATTCATGAATTTTTTTCTTCTCTCTTTTTGTTTAATTAATGTTCAATTCATAAAATGTATATGTCAAACTCAGTTTAATCATCAAAATTTAATTAGATTATAAAAGTTGAAAAATTTACAAATAAAATTCTAATTATTTTCCTGGAGTTTGTTTTCGACCAAGCAAGCATTGTAGAATCTGAAATATGTTTCAAATATGTACTTTAAGTATAAAACAATACAGTGACTCAGTACACTCTGAATATGTTTCAATATGTACTTTGAAGTACAAAACAATACAGTGACTAAGTACACTCTGAATATTTTTAAATATGTACTTTAAAGTACAAACCAATACAGTGAGTAAGTACACTCTGAATATGTTTCAAATATGTACTTTGAAGTACAAAACAATACAGTGACTAAGTACACTCTGAATATGTTTCAAATATGTACTTTAAAGTACAAAACAATACAGTCACTAAGCACACTCTGAATATGTTTCAATATGTACTTTGAAGTACAAAACACTACAGTGACTAAGTACACTCTGAATATGTTTCAATATGTACTTTAAAGTACAAACCAATACATTAAGACTAAGTAAACTCAGAATATGTTTAAATATGATACTTAAAAATACAAAAGCAATACAGTTATATTAAGTATTCTCTGAATATGTACTTTAAAGTAGACAAGCAATACAGTTTGACTAAGTACACTATAAATGTTTATCAATATGTACTTTAAAGAACAAAAAACTACATTTAGACTACGTAAAGAACATAAAGAAATGGAATCTACAAGAGGCCCCAATGTGGGCCCCCCAGCCCGCCGCCAGGTGTGGGTAGCACCATACCCTACACCCGTTCCAATGCCAGATCTTTAACCCCCCCCCCCCCCAACTAGCTTTTCCCCAGCAGGGGGAGTCCAGGAGATACTTCCTATGATTGGCGAATCTGAAGTTGTACCCGTGAAATCAAAATTTGGAATGTGGAATTGAAATTCCAATAGACTAAAGAGGATAAAAATAGGGAAATGATCACAAAACTTATTAAGGTATTCAAAATCTTAAATTTTCCCGTTTTTAAAGCAAATGCTAGAATATCTTTGATTAAGAAAAAAGTGTACTGCAATATCTGGCAGGAGTAAACGTCAACAAACTCAGTGCAGCTTCTATAGATGTTAAGTTACAAAGAGTGTAGTGTTAAGTGAAGTGTGAAATGTGGAGTATTTTGGGAACTTTACAATAAAATTTTTAGTTAACAGAGTAGTGTTAAATGCAACAGTGACGCAGGATAAGGATAGATAATCACTGTACACTGTACAGTGAGTCTAAAAGTCGTCTTCCTATTCCATAGTTTTCTGGTTCTCATTGTAGTCTACATTGTACAATACAATGTGTACAACAATGAGTACAACTACAACAGTGTACACTACAATGAGAACTAGAAAGCTGTTAAATAGAAAGACGGCTTTTAGACTCAAGTTATGATTTAGAATAGTCAAATGAACATGAGACACAGCAATTCAGTATTGTGAACAGACCTATTTAACTTAATCAGTGATTTTCTAACTATTATGGGTTTTAACTATTTGAGTAATAACAACATCATTTTCACTGATATATATTGCTTTAATATCGTCTTCCTATTCCACAGTTTTCTGGTTCTTACCTAGAATGCGAATATTTTGTAGCTGACCTTGAATTACGACCTAGATATGAAATATCATCAGCTGATAGATAATACCTGTACACTAGTACAATGTGCAGTACATAAACCATATTCAATAAATATGGCACACTGAAGATTACACAAAGGACTAGACCTGTTGTCACAAACTCAAAAGTTCCAACCCCAATGGCGTAAACCTTTGATATTTCAAACTTAGATCATTTAATATAACAAAATTCTTAGTTTGGGATATCTACGAAATTGTGTGGCAAAGATATATGGATTAGGTAACCGGAGTTTGTGGCAAAGACTCAATTCCTGTGGAATTTGAATCCATATTTCTATAAAATAAAATAAGAAACAGAAATATACATAATCTGAAGAATAATTAATTAATTATATAAATTTAAAACCTTAATTCTATCAACAGAGAAATGTAAGCATAATTATACTTAAAATTTACCTTCATTTTTCAATTGTCTATATATTTGATAAAATTTATAAGATGGACTAGAAATCCTAGAATGGAGTATAGAAATGAATTACAAGACCTAGAAATAGTTAATATAAGATCGCAAAGGTTTATAAAAATGATTAACTAATTATTTGCCTCAAACCTTAAACATAGATGTATTAAACGTTGAATCATCAGGTTGCAAAGATATAAGAATTAGAAAATTCTGGATTTTGAGGCGAGTGCAGTTTCTTTGCAAATATCGTTATGCAATATGCATAATTCTGAAGAACAATTTTTTTAGATTATTTAACTTCGTTCTTAAATAAAAAAATTTGCACTAGAGGTTTCAACATCGAAACTGCTTCTCTTTACTGGTATTCACAGCTAGAACAGGAGCTGCTTCCCTTTACAGGTATTCACAGCTAGATCAGGAGCTGCTTCCCTTTACAGGTATTCACAGCTGGATCAGGAGCTGCTGAGTGCAGCTTCGTAGATATCCAGAAGCTTCTTTATATCTTTAATCTGACCATGCAACCTGAAGATACAAGGTGTCCGAAAAAAGGGATTTTAAGTATTGGGTCTTTAAAAATGTGTCCATAAAGATCCTTGCGAATGCATTTTCATCTTTATGTGGGGACACCCTGTAAATAGCACGAATAGTAAACCAAAAAAAATTACTTTCTTTCCACTAGACATTAGTTTTTCAATTTTGATAAAAAAGTCTTGGGTTGAATATCAAAAAGATGTTAATCTATTTATATATATATATCTTGGGTGATGCATACTGCAAAGTTTCTTTTCTCAAAATTTAGGCTGAAAAAAAAACGATATCATTGCTTAGAAAAGTTTAATTAGAGATTAAAATTAGAAATATTAATTTTATTTCGTTTGAACTAAATAATTGTTAATTAAGTAATTACATACTTGTATGCAGGTCCCATAGATTTATTCAATTCTTCCCATTTAGCCATCAACTGATACATTCCTAGCAATTTTAGAGACTATATGCATTATTTTAAGTAACCCTTAGTTTATTGAATAGCATGTCCGATTCACTATAGTACACTTTAAACCTCTTTCTGAGTGACAATGTGGAAGATATCGTTTTTAAAAAATTGTTAGATTGTGTTAATTTCCATAAGAGCCTGCGATTTAAAAACTTCGACTCGAGCCGTAATTCCGTAAACCCGACTTTAAGACCCAATCTTCGACCCTACTCTGACGACAGCTTGTGTCACGTAATTGACAGCTGCAAGATCTTCGACTCGACTTAAGGAGTTAGGCCCAATGAAAAAAAAACCGACCTTGGTTGGTTTTAGTGGAGAATAAGGCTCAATGTTGAGTATTGTTCTCATGAAAACCCGGAATGCGTCAATTCCTACCATGAAAATCCGCCAAATAGAATATTAAACCGGGTTTTCGAACTCAACTCGTGGAAAATAAGATGCAGCTTGAATTCGAAAGCTCAAGCCGTAAATAAGACCCAAAGACAGCTTAGATCCGTATTTTCCTGATTTTTTTAAATCGCGGTTTCAGGTCACTTTTTTAGAGAAATCTCCATTGAAAATAATTGATTTAAAACTAGACAACAAGAATGACTCCATCATTCTTGATCGGAGAAACTGTTGTGAATCGAGCATGCCCCTCGATTAATTAAGGGTACCTTTAAATTACGTCAAAAGTTCCTTTAAAAAGAAAATGTAAAAATAAAAACCAAGAAAAAAACGTGAGACTTGAAAAAAAAATGCATACAGAATTTAGTTTAACCAACAAATTTATAAAAAAAAATAAAATAAAATACTGAAACTGAATGAACTGTGAGGACTAGATAAATGTATACAATTGTAGAGAAAAAACTATGTAAAAAAAACGTGAATAATGAAAAAATCTAAAAACAAGCAAATATTCATAAAAATAATTTTTACATAAAATAACTCAAGTTTTTTGAAGTAAATTTGTTTATTTAAAGAAACCAAAAAATATTATTATTTAAAAAAATTATTTCGAAAAAAATTCGTGAACTTACCCTTAATATTATCATCAACTGCGTCACAGGTTTTACACACTCCGTCTCTAGAATAATATCATTATTTTCTTGATCTTACATTCTCCAGTCCTGTCATGATCTGTCATGATCTGTCCCATCCCATCCCATCCCATCCCATCCCATCCCATCCCATCCCATCCAATATGANCTTTGTTGACAGTTTGTTTAAACACCCTGTATATATGTTTGGTCCTTTGTTGATAGTTTGTTTAAACACCCTGTATATATGTTAGGTACTTTGTTGACAGTTTGTTTAAACACCCTGTATATATGTTTGGTCCTTTGTTAACAGTTTGTTTAAACACCCTGTATAATGTTTGGTCCTTTGTTAACAGTTTGTTTAAACACCCTGTATATATGTTTGGTCAATTGTCGCCATTGATAGTCCATCATGTGTCTATTTCAACCACCCTGTTCAAATGAAGATTTAATTTATTCAATTTAAAATGAAAATTTTTAACGATTCATACATTTTATCAAAACAAGTTAAATAATTAAATCTTTAAAAACTAGATTACATTTTTCAAATATTTCAATTAAAGTCATCACAGACCAGAGGTCGTAACTTTTGGTTGGGATACAGCTTAGCTGCAAAGATTTCACTGGATATCTCCGACGAAAACTTTTGAGTTCAAGGGATTAAAAACGCTTTATCTCAACAAGGGATTGGTCGAATCCCAAGACAAACAGGATTGATTTAATCCGTCGAAAAGGATTTATTATTTCTGAAGAGATCAACCAAACAAAAGTTTCGACCTCGAAGTAAACCAGTTAGAACAAGTAGTAGGAAACAAGATGTTACCAGTTCAACTCAGAGCTCAGCAAGAGCTGATCATGAATAATAGATTGACAATATCTTATTTAAATAGACTGAAGCGTAATATCACGGCCCTCAATGCAAAGATGACAATGCCCGATTCATCCCACTTTGTTTGATCAAGTATAATTTAGATATCAATATTTAAAACTTTAAAAACTGATATTTCAATTGTGATTTATCTGCTAACGTAACTTGCGCATTTCTTGTTTATAAGAAGCATCGGAGAAGCTCAGGGAAATGAACACTTTTCGGTATCTTCTAAATTTCTGATCAGATCAAGCAGGTCGCTTTAGGGCTTCATTGTGAATCGGGAATTGCCATCTTTGCAAGGAGGGCACTTATTTTTTGTGCCCCCCCCCTTAAAAACTCCTTTAAAAAAATATTGATACCTTTTTTTGACTATGTAAACTATTTGATCATATACAAACTTCCATATAACAAGTGTTAATAAATTATTTATGTAATTTTCATAAATGGACTCATCAGACACTTCCTATAATACTGTGGTGTAAGCTTCAATGGGTGAAAAATAGAGATAGAAACGTTCCTTAAAAATATCTATTTTCATAGAAAGGATACATATTGTATAATTTCGAATAATGATATCAAAGATATATTTACACTGAAGGCAGTATTGATTAAAGCTTTTTTAATGAAACTTTTTCAGTTAAGGGCAAAAGTGAGATTCTTTTTTAGTTGAGGGCTAAAGTGAGTTTTTGAAGCATTTTTTTGGGGTGCCCCCCCCCCCTCAGGAATTACTTGTTTTTTTGACTTACCGGATTTGTAACTTTTGTTTGTTTGATTGTTTCCTGGACAAGACATTCTTCAGGACTAGGGCTGTCATTTCTAAAACATCCTATACTAACTCAAGGGCCCGGCACGGCGTTGCCCGTGGGAAAAAATTTGAAAATCGATTTTTTTTACCTTAGTCATCCCCAGGCTAACTATAAGTGTCCACAAAAAATATCAGCTCATTAGGTCAAGGTAGAGGGAACATATATACAAAATGTTTTGTTTTATTATTTAGATAAAAAGATTAAAAATAACCCCGGACGTAATTTTTAGTGAAACTGAAAACGCCAATTTAACAGATCAATGTCCGATTCACAACGGTACATTTAAAAACTTTGTTTGATTCAGAATTGCGTAGATATCCCTGTTTTTATGTCTGAAAAAAACTATTTTAGTTTAGTATAAAGTTAAATTATTACTAAGAAAGACAATGCTGCACTGTATACTGCACGAAGTTGGGGCAAACATAGTTTTATTGCATTCAACTAAAACTTAAAGGGACCATTCCCAATACACGCATCGACATTCAACATGCCGAATATTTTGAGAAACCTTGCTTCAAAATTATAGTCGTTTAATTTAGCGGGATTTACTCAGTTCGATTNTAGCTCATGAAATTGAGTGTAAAAATAGGATACTTATTATTTTCTTTGCAGCCCGCTTTCTAACTATAAATTCTGGTGGATCAATCAGTCAAAGTTTGAAATATCAGGTTGCAAAGATATAGGGCGTCAAAAATTTGAGTTTGTGGCAAAAACTCAATTCCTAAAAACAACATTCCTTAACATGAATTGTGATCAGTTTCTTTAGTAAAACTATTGATAAAACTTGCAGAATATAAGGATAGGTAGATAGATAAGGATATTATATTGTGACCGTATCTTATTAAAATTGAGGTTAGATAATATATACTTAATCTATGAAACAAGACATTCGTATATATGTTCCCTCTGGCCGGCCAAACGACTGGACCGATTGGGCTGAATTTTTTTGTAGACAATCAAGGGTATCCCGGGGGTGACATAAGCAAAAAAATTAAATTTTTAATTTTCTTTTTTTCAGCATTTTTTTCAGGCGGCTTTGAAATCTTCGCGTCCACTAGTTATTGCAATAATTCCACGACTTTAACCTTTATGAAAATTTTAGAACTTTTCTCGATGGAAGATTTAAAAACAAAATGCAATTTGAACAAATCTTTTAAAAGATTTGTTTTAATTCCACTTATAAAGATTTGGCATAGTGTTACGTTCTAATAAAACCCAATGTATCGACAATTATTTTAAAACATGTTTTTCCTATTATTTTGACCCTGAATAAAACAGTCGACCAAAAACGACCAAAAACGGCCCAAAAACGACCAAAAACGACCAAAAACGGCCAAAAACGACCAAAAACGACCAAAAACAAAACAACTTAATGCACATCAATAGGTACAGTTATAAAGGCTAAAAGTGGAGTAAGGCTATTATATCAATACCCTGAAGACGACATTTTAAGTTTTGATTGTTAACAAGCTATTTTAGAAAAAAGAATAATCAGACAAGTTTTTTTAATTGACAGCTTCTCTTGACTTCTATGATTATGTGTATCCGTGATGTTTAACAGCTTGATATAAACAAAAATTGAAATCAAAGGTCGTCTTCATTTCATTGATATAATCGTCTACCATTGTATCTAACCTGAATGTCTGCTGCCACATTAAGCTGTCTGCTACAAGTTTACTGGTTAAATAATCTCGGGCATTCTCCGTATCTTCATCACAAACCAACCTTCCGTCTCGTAGGTATACATCCCCCTAGATCAGGGAATATATCAAGGTACACATCAGCATAGGAAGTATTTATCAGGATACAGATCAATATAGTGAGAATATATCAGGGTATAGATCAGCATAGGGAGAATATAACAGGGTATAGATCAATATAGGGAGAATATATCAGGGTACAGATCAATATAGGGAGAATATATCAGGGTACACATCAGCATAGGAAGTATTTATCAGGATACAGATCAATATAGTGAGAATATATCAGGATATAGATCAACATAGGGAGAATATAACAGGGTATAGATCAATATAGGGAGAATGTATCAGGGTACAGATCAATATAGGGAGAATATATCAGGGTACAGATCAACATAGGCAGAATATAATAGGGTATAGATCAACAAAGGGAGAATATATCAGGGTACAGATCAACATAGGGAGAATATATCAGGGTATAGATCAATATAGGGAAAATATATCAGGGTACAGATCAACATAGGCAGAATATATTAGGGTATAGATCAACAAAGGGAGAATATATCAGGGTACAGATCAACATAGGGAGAATATATCAGGGTACAGATCAACATAGGCAGAATACATCAGGGTATAGATCAACACAGGGAGAATATATCAGGGTATAGATCAATATAGGGAGAATATATCAGGGTACAGATCAACATAGGCAGAATATATAAGGGTATAGATCAATATAGGGAGAATATATCAGGGTATAGATCAATATAGGGAGAATATATCAGGGTATAGATCAATATAGGGAGAATATATCAGGGTATAGATCAGCATAGGGAGAATATATCAGGGTATAGATCAACATAGGCAGAATATATCAGGGTACAGATCAACATAGGGAGAATATATCAGGTTATAGATCAATATAGGAAGAATATATCAGGGTACAGATCAACATAGGGAGAATATATCAGGGTATAGATCAATATAGGGAGAATGGGTACAGCTCAACATAGGGAGAATATATCAGGAAACAGATCAGCATAGGGAGAATATATAAGGATACACATCAACATAGGGAGAATATATCAGGAAACAGATCAGCATAGGGAGAATATATAAGGATACACATCAACATAGGGAGAATATATCAGGGTATAGATCAATATAGGGAGAATATATCAGGGTATAGATCAATATAGGGAGAATGGGTACAGATCAACATAGGGAGAATATATCAGGAAACAGAACAGCATAGGGAGAATATATAAGGATACACATCAACATAGGGAGAATATATCAGGGTACAGATCAGCATAGTGAGAACATATCAGGATACAGATCAGCATAGGGAGAATATATCAGGGTATAGATCAACATAGGAAGAAGATATCAGGGTATAGATCAACATAGGGAGACGATATCAGGGTATAGATCAACGTAGGGAGAATCAGGTTGGCCAAAACTTTCTTGAACAAATCCGTAAAAAATTCCGTACATTTTCAGAAGAAATCCGTACAATCCGTACAATTTTCGAAAAATAATCCGTACAATCTGTACAATTTTTTTTAAAATCCGTACATTTTTTTAAACCAATCCGTACATTTTTTTAAAAATCTGTACAATCAGTACAATTTTCGAAAAAAATCCCAATTGTTGAAAAAAAAACATTAAAATTCAATTTTTCATTGATTGTCCTTTGTGTTCAGTTCATGTAAGAGGGTTTAAACTTCTTCAGCAAGCATTAGAGGTCTAATATGAGACCATAGGAATAATAATACCCTTTTTAAATTGGTCTCATATCGTGCCTGGTATCTCAGCAAGAATCAATCTGTAAAAAATTGGCTTCATACATAAATACAAACTAAATACTTGGTACATGATACTGGATACATGATACAGGGTACATGATACAGGATACTGGAAACAGGATACTGGATACTGGGTACATGATACAGGATACTGGATACTGGATACTGGATACTGGATACGGGATACTGGATACTGGATACGGGATACTGGATACAGGATACTGGGTACATG